AACACATGCCCAGGAGGGCCAAACTTTCATGTCAGCCCTCAAGCAACTTCAAGGTCAGAGAACTCCAGCTTTCTATAAAAATAAGATCAATCCAGCAAGCCAAACAAACAGACAAACATTGCTGTGGAGTCGATTCTGATTCACAGCAACCCTGTAGGACAGAGTAGAAGTGCCCCATAGAGTTTCCAAGGACAGCCTGGTGGATTTGAACTGCCGACCTTTTGGTTAGCAGCCGTAGCTCTTAACCACTGCATCACCGGGGTTTCCAGTAAGAAAAAGGGAGTATGAAACTGTTGAGTGTGAATGAACACATATGCAGTGACACTAAAATTAGATAGGTGGACTGTCTCCAATCGCTCCATGTCCACACCAACATTCCACTTGGGACAACCATTCTCAACCCAACTGCACATTAGATTCACCTGGGCAGCTTTTAAAGAACCCCAATGACTGGGCTCTGCCGCAGACTGGCTGAACCAGAGTCTGGGGGACAAGCCCTACCTCAGTATTTTTTATAAGCTCCCTGGGTGATTCCAAGGTCCTTAGGTGGTTCAAATGGTTTGCGCTCGACTGCTACTCTGAAGGTTGGTGGTTTGAACCCATCCAGCGGTGCTGTGGAAGAAAGGCCTGTTTCCGTAAAGATTACAGTCAAGGAAAACCTATGGAGCTCAGTATACTGTGTAACACATGGGGTCTCCAGGAGCTGGAATTGACTTGATGGCAATGGATTCTGGCTGATTTCAAAGAATATCTAAACCATTTGTGGCTAGTGATAACCCTTTATGGTCGCAAAAGTAAGCCATTTTTAGGTGTGGAAAAAGAAAGCTAATCTTTCCACACTTCTTTTTGAGTCAATTCAAAGATGCTTTGAAAAGATCAAGATAGAAGCAGTGGAATCCCAGCCCTAAAATTTGGGTTATGAGGGTTCTTACCTGGGGTCTAACTTCAGCGGGTCCCTGATCCCCCGGAATGATATGCAAAGTTTGCTGAAGATGTGTCGATGTGCATTTTCCTGGGCAGTAGGCCAAAGGGGTTTTCATCAAATTTCCAAAGTAAGTGGATAGCTATGTCCTTCCCCTCAAAAGTTTAAAAGTCATTGCTTCAAGATCAAGTCCAAGTAAGTATAGTCCAGGAAAGAGGCAAATCTCACGTCAGTAAGTCTACTGCTGTCCAACTTCTATGTCCAACATTGTGTCAGAACTGCTCAACATCATGGCCTTATCTTCCCTGGTTCTCCTGGCCTCCAACCACCCTGCTGACCACAGGTCCTTGAAACCTTCCTTCCTTGGTTCCTGTGACCCACGGCTTTCTGGTTCTCCCCCCGCATCTCTGGTCATCTTCCTAGTCAGTGCACCTACCCTGAGCCATGACCATTTTTGGAGTCATGAGCCTCTTGGATAGATTCATGGAGCCTATGGGCCCTTTGTTGGATTAATGTTTTTCAGTAAAGAAAATAAAATACATAGGATTTCAAAGGAAACCAATTGTATTGAAATACACTTCTTAAGTTACCACCCATTTGTCAGTTTGTCATACAGTGGTGGACAGGACAGCTTTCAGTAGAGCTTCCAGACTAAGACTAGGAAGAAAGGCCTGGTGAAAATCAGCCAATGAAAACCCTATGGGTCACAACAGAACATTGTCTGATACCATGCTGGGAGATGAGCCCCAACAATGAATGGGCTCAAGCGTACCAACAATCACGAAGATAGCACAGGACTGGACAGTGTTTTATTCTGTTGTCCATGGGGTCACCATGCGTTGGAGATGATTCGACAGCAACTAACAATAACAACAACAGCAATAATAACACGCTTCTTAAGGATCCCTTTCCTTGGCCTTAGAGGTATCCAGGCTATCCCTGAGGTGGAGGATGTGATTCAAGTTATTACATGCTGCTTTTAAAATCACCTGCCCCAGTCCACGCTCCAAGAGTGTGGTTATCGGACAACTTGCTGGGTGGGTTTTACCTCCCACTGAGTTTTTCTAAAGAGGAGGTTGCCTTGGTCAGAGGGCTGGAGAAACTGATTTCCTTGGCAGTTGCGTGTCTCCTCATGGATTCATCAATTGGATTTCTGGTGGATGGATCTGACTCTGGTGGGATTCTACATAGGTTTGTAGTCTACTAAAAACACGGATTCGGGGCCCTACCCAAAGCTCCTGAATCAGAATTTCTGCGTAGGGGTCCTGGGGACCTGACTTTTGAACTAGTGCCTCTAATGATTCTCTAAACCAGGGAACTGCAGACTTTTTCTGCAAAAGGGCCAGCTGGTAAATCTTTGAGGCTTTGGGGGACCACACGGTCTCTGTCACAACTCAGCAGTTGTAGTGCAAAAGCCAAAAACCTATTGCCATCCAGTTGATTCTGACTCATAGCAACCCTATAGACAAGAACTGCCCCATAGGGTTTCCAGGGCTGTCATCTTTGCAGAAGCAGACTGCCACATCTTTTTCCTGCAGAGTGGCTGGTGGGTTCGAACTGCCGACCTTTTGGTTAGGAGCCCAGTTGCTTAACTACTGTGGCATGAGGGTTCCTCAGTGGAAAAGCAGCCATGTGTAGTTCTAGGTGCTGAGGGCACTTGTCATACAATATCATTCTTGAGCTCCCCAACGACCCTGTGTGGTATGGACAGTAGTCCTGTTTTATAGCTAACCTATAGGATAGAGTAGAACTACTCCACAGGATTTCCAAGGAATGGCTGGTGGATTTGAACTGCCAACCTTTTGGTTAGCAGCCAAGCTCGTTAACCACTGCGCCATCAGGGCCTGTTTTACAGGTAGAAGAAAGAAATCTTGAAGTGATAGCTTGGTTGTACAGACTCACACAGTTAAGATACGGGTTAAAATTCCAGGGTCACACTACTGCAAGAAACCAAAAGAGACCTACATAAACGGAAAAACATCCCATGCTCATGGATTGGAAGATTTACCACCGTGAAAACGTCAATACTACCCAAAGCGACCTATAAGCTATAATGCAATCCCAGTCCAAATCTCAACAGCATTCTTTAGCGAAATGGAAAAACTAATCTCCAATTTTATATGGAAAGAGGCCCCAGACAGCTAAAGCAATATTGAAGAAGAACAAAGTAGGAGGCCTCACACTTCCTGATCTCAGAACTTACTGTACAGCCACAGTAATCAAAACAGCCTGGTACTGGTACAATGACAGACACATAGACCAATGGAATAGAATTGAGAACCCAGAGGAAATCTATCCATCTATGGACGGCTGATCTTCGACAAAGGGTCGAAGCCCATTCAATGGGGAAGAGACAGTCTGTTTAAAATTCCAGCGTCATCACTCCGTTCTCCATCCCTGTATGTCACCATTAAAGCGCTCAGCTGCTAATCAAAAGTTCGGCGGTTTGAACCCACCAGCCGTTCCACGGGAGAAAAATGTGGCAGTCTGCTTCCATAAAGATCTACAGCCCTGGAAACTCTATGAATTGCTATGAGTTGGAATTGACTCAATGGCAGTGGGTTTTTTGTTTGTTTGTTTGTTTTTGGTATGTCACCATAGAGCTGGATCCCCTAATTTTTCTTCATCCATACAATGGAATATTATTCAGCCATAAAAAGGAATGAAGTACTGATTCATGTTGTAACCTGGATGAACCTTGAAAACACCACGCTGAGTGAAATAAGTCAGACACAAAAGGATAAATATTGTATGACTACTTGAAACTCAATATTTGAAATATTAAAACAAGTGTATGAATATTCACTTAACTGAAATATCTAGAACAGGGAAATGCATAGACTCCAAAAACTATTAGGAGCCATCAGGGGCAGGTGGTGGTGTAGTGGTTAAGTGCTGTAGCTGCTAACCAAAGGGTCAGTGGTTCGAATCCACCAGGTGCTCCT